CCATATGCCTGTCACAAACTGACCCTGAAATTCCACTCCTCCTTCTTGGGACAACGATCTCTCCTGGCCCTTTCTTTGCCTCTGTACACTGTTCCTTTGCTGATTCTTCCTTGTAGGTCAGTGCCTCACCACCACCTTCTTCTGTACAGCTTCCCGGCTAACCAACTCTACAGTAGTGTGTCCCCATCTCCAACTTTAACTTAGTCCTCCCAGGAGCACCAGGGGATACATATATTTGCCCACCTGATAGCTGTACTTGGATGTCCATAAGGATTTTAGTCAAGCCCTGCCCTGTGAGGCCACCAATCTTTTTCTTCATGAGTCCTCATCTTGGGGAATGGCACCACTGTCCACCTACTTCCCATGCCAGCATCTTCTACTGGTCAGGTCATGTTCATTTTCTATCCCACTGCCTTAGATTAGGCCCTTTACTCTTACTTTATCTCTTATCTATAACCTCCAAACTAGCCTCCCTGATGCTTATTTCCCAGGTCATTCTTTTTTTTTTTTTTTTTTTTTAATTTAAAGATTTTATTTATTTGACAGAGAGAAAGAACACAAGTAGGCAGAGTGACAGGCAGAGGCCGAGGGAGAAGCAGGCTCTCTGCTGAGCAGAGAGCCCAATGCAGGGCCCAATCCCAGGACCGTAGGATCACGACCTGAGCTGAAGTCAGACTGAGCCAGGCACCCCTCCCACGCCATTCTTTACCACCATCAGTTATTCACTGCCCAGTCAATAGATTCTGGACCCCTTCCTTTCTCTTTCCAGCTCAACATCTCCCATCTCCCAATCTGACCCCTACTGTCAAGGCACACGGAACCAGTGGTGGAAAAGAATTAGAATTATCTGACTTCTGTGCCTTTACAGCTGCCGCCATTACCTCCTCCTGCAGTACGCTTTGTCTTCTCCACTGGGTTCATTATCTGTAGTTCACACACCTTCCTGATCTGAGTTAGCATTGGCCCTTCCCGTAATGCTAGTTCTATCACCACCCCTCTTAACCAGATTACATTTACAACTGGTTTGCTCATCTGTCCTCTTCACTGAACTCTAAGCTCCTGGAGGGATAGGGGACTGACTGCCTTTTGCTGCACACACTCAGGTAATACTTTTAAACATATGACACTGTCCCTGAGAGGCAGAGGTCCAGAAATGCCAGGACCTGCAACATGGCTCCCCACTTACCAGCTGTGGGGTCTTGGGCAAGTTGCTTATCCCTTCTGAGTCTACTTCCTCATCTCCATAATGGGGAGAATAGTATACCTTCCTCAAAGGGCTGCTGTGAAGAACACTAGAACGGGGCCTGGCACAAAGTTGGGACTTTGGTAGTACTAGCCACTTACCTGAAGGATTATTTTAAGAATATTTAGGAATAGCTCACAATTATTTAAGAATATAATAAAACACTTTTTTTTTTTTTAAGATTTTATTTATTTGACAGAGATTACAAGTAGGCAGAGAGGCAGTCAGAGAGAGGGGGAAGCAGGCTTCCTGCTGAGCAGAGAGCCCGATGCGGGGCTCGATCCCAGGACCCTGGGATCATGACCTGAGCCGAAGGCAGAGGCTTTAACCCACTGAGCCACCCAGGCGCCCCTAATAAAACACTTAAAAAAGAATAGGGGTGCCTGGCCTGGCTGACTTAGTGGGTAGAGCATGTGACTCTTAGTCCTAGGGTCATGAGGTCAAGCTCTATGTTGGGCATGGAGCCTACTTTAAAAAAAAAAGTGTTTAAAAAATTAGTAATACCCCAGATTCTGCGCCACAGTAGTCATATTGAATGCATGGATATATATGGGACTGAAAAATCACTCAATTCTCAGAGGCCAAAACAGTTATGATACTGAAGCTATTGGCTCACTATATGATGAGGTTTGGCCAGCTTCCCCTGTAAGATTTTGGCTTTCATCTTATTTCTGGTCCATTTAAAAAGCTCATGAAAATCTGTAGCTGATGAGGATAAATTAAAAAGATGGCTATTAAAATGTTAGTATTTAATATGAAGGCTATCCATTAATACTTATCCTTTATAACAGCTTGTCCTCCAGTAATTTCCAATGTCGTATTAATAAAACAGAACCTAAGCTTAAATCAAAGGGCAGTGATGAAAAGGGTTCAGGGAAATTTGTTATCAGGGAAGGTTTGAAAGGACAAGAGCCATGGGGGCCACAGGGGACCCAGCAAGTGTTTGGTCCTTTCTTCTCAAAAAGCACCATTAATGTGACAAAGCTCCAAGGACTATGCTTTTGTTGGGGGAGTTTGATGCCCCGATGGCCAAGGGTGGCAGGGTTTATCAGGTTCTGAGACAAGATGACCAACCCAAGAGCAATCTTCAATGGGAAGCCATTTTAGACTGTTCAGAGTCCATACTCCTAGCAGTCTTAAGAATTAGCAAATATCCATCCAAGCACTGATTTAATAAACTATGGTATAACATGGACTTCTTTGCAGTTTTAAAAAATTATGAAGACTGTACTAACTTGGAAAAATGTTTTTGATACTAAAATGTTGATAGGATTATGGGGATTAAGTTTTTAATTATAAAGCCATTTTTTTTCATTTGAAAAAGACCAAATGCTACAAAGCCCAAACTCTAAAAACACATTGCAAAAATCTAATGTTCTGTTGAAATGTGAAACCTTAGAACTGCCAAGGCAAAGGATCTGGATGGGGGAAGGTCAGGTCAGAACTGGGCCTCACATAAAATAGCATTTCTTTTAAGATGTCCAGCCAAAGTTTTTCTGCAGAGCATTTACACTGCAAGATGTCAGGGGAGAAGGGGCTATAAAAGTCTACATATTCTTGCCCCCCCCCCACCATTTTTAAAGTATAAGAGAATAAGCATGAGCATGGGGGGTGGTGCGTGGAGGAGGAAGAGAGACTCTTAAGCAGGCTCCGTGCCCATCATGGAGGCTGACACAGGGCTTAGCGTCAGGACTAACCCGAAATCAAGAGTTGGACGCTTAACCAACTGAGCCACCCGGTGCCCCCATTCTTTCTTTCTTTTAAAGAAACTCATTCAAGGGACATTTGGGTAGTTCAGTCCATTAGGTGTCTTGACTTCAGCTCAGGTTGTAATCTTGGGGTCCTGGGATTGAGCCCCACATTAGGCTCCACTTAGCGGGGAGTCTGCTTATCCTTCTGCCCACCCGCTTGTGCTCTGTCTCAAAAATCTTTGATAAAACTCAAGTACTGAACACCTACAACTTGCTAGCAACTGGTTGCTCTCAGTACTTAGGGGTGCCTGAGTTAACAAAACCCCTTGTTCTTGGTGCCTATGTTATGGTGGGCTATTTTACATGCAGTGGGCAGTGGAAATGTGGGAGTGAGCCAGGATGGGGTCAGAAAGAACATGTGCATGAGCATACTAAAGACTGAAGCAGTCATGTAACCTGTTTTTCTAGTCTCAAACTTTTTTAAACCACCAACGGAACCCTTCTTTTTTCCCCCTTTGTATAATTACGAACATTCCTCAGGACTGTCTCCTAAGACACTTTCAAAATGGTCTTAACTTGGAAAAGGTCTTGTTCCTTTCTTACAACCAAAACCTGGCTCTTGATCACAAACCCTCTAGTTGCCTTTTTTGTCACCCTACAGAAGATTCCTTGCAGCTAAGCTGGTTGGTATGAGGTGTAGTAGAGACCTGCATTGAGGCTACTATGAATGGGTAATTTAGGGCAGGCCAAAACTGAGTGGGTTAATGAAGAGTTAATTCAGTTTTAATCAAACAGTCTTAAAGGGTGTTATCAGTCCAGAAATCATTTTGAGAATGAAGTTACAATTGGGTTGAAATTGCAACAACTGTGTGCCAACCTGTCACACAGATAAAATAGTAAAATCCTGTCTCCCCTAGGGGGGTCCCACTAAAGTAAAAAATGAATGAAACACAATAGATACACACAAAAGCAATGGAGCGCTAATTACACAAGAGGCACTAATCCTTGCTTTATTCACGCAGTAACATCAGACATTGGGAATTGTGTGGGCGTAGATACAAAAGAAGGAAGATGGCATCATAAACAGCTGAGTTCATCAGGGCAGTGGTGGCAGCTCAGCCAGTGTATGTGGTCTCCCTGGGACCTGTTGTCAAGGGATTACTCTGCTCCCTCCACCATTTCATGGCCAAGGTGTTTCTGGCCTGTACTTTAAAGGTCACAGTGATTAAAAACAGGGTTAAGACATTCAGGGCTGAGCGAATGCTCCTGGGGCCACTTAGGAATCTGGCAGTGAGACCATGAGAGCAGCATTATGCCCTTATCGTCAGGTATGTGCAAGGCAGATCCCAGTAGACACATGAAATGATCTTTCCCCCCTGTGCTGAATGGAGAAATAGCTTTCAGCCAAATCCTCAGGAGCAGAACTGGAGGCACCTAAAGCACCAAACAGGCACCATTGCCTCTTCAGTTTCTCATGGTCACACCAAAAAGCTACTTTTAATACAGAAAGTAAAAGCATTTGTGGTGGGTCTTTTTCAAACCCAGAACAGAAGTTGGGAAAAAGAAGTTTTCTCTAGCATCATGGTTTGGATTCAGTTCTCTGTATGGTATAATCACATGCCACAATGCCTTCCTCACCAGTAGTTGCCCAAGTAGGGTTTTTCTCATGTGCTGTTTAGAAGACATTAAAGGCTGTTTGAGATTTTCTTAGTGCCAGCAAGAAATAATTTTGAGGGAGGGGAGGAGGGTACCCAGCACCTTGTATTCTCCTCATGTGCTAACAGCCGGATGACTTAGTAGTGAGGTAGTAGCAACAACTCCTCACCTAATGAAAAGAATTCAAATCTATGTAATCAATCCCTGGACACTGACAACAGGCTGTCCTCACAGATCTCCTGTTCCAACCACCCTCTCATGTGAAGCTTTATCCCAAAAGGAGCTGACGAGAAAAACGACCTCCAGTGTCCAGTTTCTCAGGATAAAGATAGACCTCACCAGAGCCCAGGCACAAACTATTTTTGCTGAATTCATTAAGCACAACTTTTATAGAAAACTGACAAACCAAATTGAAAGAATCACTGTTATAATAACTTTAATTTATCTTGCATTTTACATAAGTCTATGAACGATTTTAAAAAAGCACCGCCTTACCCCATCACGTTTTTCTGACAGTTGTTAAAGTGGCAATGAGTATGTCAACAGCTTGAGCATCGGCATCTCACAAGGATTTCAGACCAACCAGCCACACGCCAAAGAACCTGGCAGCTTTTCTATCTTGTTTTTAATACAGTGGTATATCCACTCTGATGGTAAACCTGTCCAGCCAAATCTCCACAACACACTTTGCAAAATCAGTGGTGGTTAGCCAATTAGTTAGCTTTGGCACGGAGCTGTGCTCGCTTGCCTGTGACAGCCTGGAAGCCGGTTTTGATGCTGGCAACAGAGCATCGAGAATGACAAGTTTCGCACTGTAAGAAATAGAGTCGGGTGTCCTTTTGCAGGATCGTGTCCGGTGATCGGCACGTGTGACAGGTAACGTATTCCTCTGCAGGAAAAGCAACATTCAAAATTACCTGGCGGCTGCAGTGAGCCTGAGGTTTCTTTCCCTCTGAAACATCTACAATGGACTCCACAAGCCCAGGCTGGCACCCAGACCAGGGAAGGCTTTAGCCTTACTTAGACATTCTAGGGATAAAAAGACAAGCTATCTGCTGTGATGGTTCAGGTACTAAACCAAGGACTCCAAATGTCCGAGGAGGAGGAATGCTTGCCAGATGCCATTCCTGGTTCTGTCTGCAGGAGAGCCAGTCAGAACACAAGAGCTTTCCTAGATGGGAATACCACCTGCCAATTTCAAGTGCTTAGGAAGATGATAAAGGCAGGCCAGGCTGATTTCCCTAACCTGGCCTTCAGCCTAGAACCAACCAACAGCCTTGATCTGATGGGCCTTAAGAAATCCAAACCCTTCTCGTACCCCTAAGCAGCAGCCAAGAGTCCCCTTGGGCTGTCCCATCTTCCCATCATTTTCCCTCCTCTTAGAAGGTCCCCCATTCTAGCTTCGTTAAGGAAACAGTGGATCTCCCCTAAAATATTACAGCCTGACTGAGAACATTTCAGAGTAATATAATTAAATACACACTTACTGATATATCTTCTCAAAACATTTTCTATCTGTTTCTGTTGGAATCTTCCTTTGATTACAAGTTGATTATTACCATCTATAGAACCACTATAAGAGAAAAGAAAAGTATCTCCATTATTTTTGTTTCCTGTAAGAAACCAAATTCCAGGGCCTATTTAAAATATATTCAATGGCATAGGCAAGTTCTAGGAGCAGTGCTGTACTACGTGATTTTTCAAAATTTAAGTAGTTGGTGCCTGATGACCTACTCCTTTTTCCTACCGTTAAGTCCAGTTTCAACCAATTAAATCTCCAGTGACAAATTTATGATTAAGTCTAACAAATTGATTCCTTAACTGTGTGATGGCTTATTCAACCAAGGTAAAGGAAGGACGCTTCTACTGAGTGTATGCCATGGACAAGACAGTGAGGAGTCTATAAATATAAAAATAGGAAGGGAGCTGTCTCTAAAAATTCTAAGCACCCAATGTTTTGATTCAGTCACTGAGTGAAGAAAATATCCTAAAATGGGTTGTGGTAATGGTTGTTCAACTCTGTCAACATATTAAAAGCCATTTGTACATTTACATGTGTGAATTGTATCTCTAAAGCTGTTACCAATAAAGTACAGTTGAAATCACAGGTCACATTTTGTCAATGGTGCTTTTAAAAAAAGAAGATGCTGACAAGCACTTTGATAAGGTAAAGCTGTGTGATAGACATTATCATTTGTTACAAATCACAAAGTGAAACAAAATTCAGCCAGGTAGCATTAATTTTATATTTGTTTTGTATCTCATAAAACTGACTTTTTAAGAACCCTTCCTGTGATTCTCCTTTAACTATAAGGCTTTATGATCATCCTCCGTGTACTATAACCCTTAATTTCCAGGCTATGGTGATTCCACTGCTTGATGTAGGAAATTTTTTTCATTACTGTCAAAAGAAATTGAATTTTCTCAACAACCCCATAATATTTAGCCCACTGACCACAAGTTCACTGGTCACAACTTGTTATAATACCCCACCTCTACAAAAATTGTAAATTATTCTGAGAATAGAACACCGCTAGTTTTTATTCCTTCATTAGTTTATACGTTAAAAATAATGTAACAAATTTACATTTAAAACAATTCTACAACAGAGCTTACCTATCTACCACTAGTCAAATTAACCCCTTAACTCCACAGCAAGTGTAGTCCGTTCTAACAAGCTGAATTAATCCTTGTAAGCCTTTTAAGAGCTCAAGCTCTAGAGACAGGCAGAGTTGAGTTTACTATCTTGATTATGCTATTAACTAGCTATGTGAGCAACTCACACGAACCTGTTTCCAAGCCTGTAAGAGGGGTAATATTAATTTCCACTTACAGTTCATAGGACTATTTTAACTGAGACAGTGCCCCAAAATGTGCTTCGCATAGTACCTGGCATATAGTAGGCACTCAGTATGTGTTAGTCATCATTATCATGCTTTAAGTCTATGTTACTTATTTTTAAAGGAACTTTTGGGATTCCTAGTACTTATGGTCATATTCATTGGGATGGGCCCCATGGGGTAATGATCTCCCTGAATGGGAATGGACTGGCTTAGTGCCTTCAACATGTGAGCCCTGAAGACTGGGAAATAACTAATTATGGATCTCTGTTTCAGTGTTTTCTCCTGTGCCACTCATCAGTCTATTTCTTCGATAGCCTATTAACAATTCAGAAAATAAATTCTGGCCTAAAAGTCTATGCATTTGCTAAGAACACCCAAAAATTCTAATTAATGACAGGAACACCAGCAGGCCTGTATGGATGAGCCACTTTAACTCTATTCCCTATTCCTAAGCAGCTAAACTCTCAAACAGTTTCCTTCCCTCCCTGGCCTAAAAGTTCCTCTGATTATCATCATGTGAATATTTTTTCTAAGTATGTTATGTATCCCTTTCAAATTACGAGAAGTTCCTTTGAAACATCTAGTACTGCTCTCACTGTATATAAATGTGAATACAGTTTCTTACCTTGTACCCAATTCAGCCAATAAAAATGCAAGGAGATGTTTGGGCTGACGATGTAATCTAAAAAGAAAGTGGAATATATAAACTTTATCTTTCACTGGAAATCTTACCAAATCTCTTTTAAAAAACCATCCTATTCGCTGTTTTTATCTGTACTCAACTATTTGGTGAATTTTAGTGTTTAGTTCATCAAATCCTGAAATAACACCAACTTGGGTGCTTGGATGGCTAGGTTACTCGACTGCCTTCAGGTCCTGGGATAGAGCCCCACATTGGACTCCTTGCTCAGCAGGGAGCCTGCTTCTCCCTCTCTACCTGCTACCCTACCTGCTTGTACTCTCTGTCAAATAAAATCCTTTAAAAAAAAAAAATAATAACACCAACATTACAGGTTAACCTCTTTTTCTGAGAAGGAAGATAAAGGGATCAGAAAGAGATACACAGATGTCCTTGATTGTAACTGTAAAACCCTCTTTTTAAAGAAGAAAAAGATCTAGGGGTGTCTGGGTGTTTCAGCTGGTTGTGTCTGACTCTTGATTTTGGCTCAGGTCACGATCTCAAGGTTGTGAGATCAAGCCTCTCACTGGGCTCTGTGCTAGGCGTGGAACCTGCATGGGATTCTCTTTCTAAGAAAAAAACAAAACAAAAAACACAAAAACCTTTAAAGAAGAAAAAGATCTGATGCACAAATGTCAAAGGTCAAAATATATGAAACCCAGGCAATGGGACACTTGGCTGTTGTGCTAATCCCTGTGTTATTTCCTTTTTGAAAAATCTTCATTTATACATACACACACACACACACACTTCATGGTAGCACAAGGGCAGAAAAATTGAAAACAGCTTAAATATGCAACTGAAGAGCAGTTAAGTTATGGTAGCCTGCTTTTAGAACAAGGCAGATATGTCTATTACAAACCCCCTCCCTACCCAAATAGGAAAAAGCAAATAGAGAGCAATGCTATTCAGTATTTAAACTTAATTCTACTCATTGGTGGGGGGGGGGGCATCTGGGTGGCTTAGTTAAAAGTGTCTGAATCTTGCTTTCAGCTCAGGTCATGATGTCAGGGTCCTGACAGGATCAAGCCCCGTATGCAGGGGAGTCTGCTTCCTCCCCCTCTGCTCCCTGCCCCAACCCCCACAGCTTGTGCACTCTCTAAAATAAATAATTCTTTTCTAAAAAATCATTCTCTTCACTTGGCATTGTCTGAACTTGTTCCAGTAACCAGGTATTATTAAAATTTTTAAGTTACTCCTTCCCAAAGTGTAGTAAGGGTTGGTGAAAATATAATAGAACAAGCAAGCTCCTACATTGCTAGTGGGATATAAATTAGTACAAGATTGTTGGAAAGCAATCTGCTAACATTTGCCACAAAAATAACCCAATCCTTTCAGTTCGGCAGTACTTTGCCCTAAGACTCTATTCCGAGTTACCGTCAAGATACACGTATCAGGATGTTTCCTGAAGCTTTGCCACTGATCATGAAAACTCCGAAGCAACCATATCCAGCTAAGGAACTGTTAGAATATGTTGTGTTGCTATTCAAAACATTTCTGAAGACTATTTAATGACATGGGTACAAGTTTTGTGATATATTGAGAAAAGTCTGTTAAACCCCAGTATGATACCAATCTATTTTAAAATATCTACATGCACAATACTAGCTAAACATAGAAGTATTAAGTTTTGATTATCTTTAATGGTAGACTTACAGATGATTTTTTTATTTTCTTCAGCATGTCTGTATTTTCTAGTTTTTCTAAAATAAGAATATACTACTGCTGTTATCAGCAAAAAGTCTAAAACCTTTTGAGTAATGGCTATAATGAAACCAAATGATTACCTCAGGGTGGTAGAATTTTAGTAATTATTTTGTGTTCATCACTGTTTTGCCTTTTATCTGCAGTAAGCATGTATCATTTATGAAACTAAGCAACAAACAGTAGATAAGGTCAGCTGCCCTTAAGAGCCTGTCAGAAAAGATGTAGCTGAGGTAGGAGAAGTGACAGGCCCAGGGAGTGACCTGGGGGTGAGATACATATGGAATGTGATGGTCATTAAGAAAACTGCAATCCCATCGACCATGTCTTGGTAACGACCATCCAAAGAGGAGGCACTCCAAATTCAGCTGCTGTCCTGGCACTCACTCTTCCAGTTGTGTGGCAGGCCCACCCAGCCTAATGCGCTTTTCCACCTCCCCAGCTGGGCTCCCCAGGCTCCTGTCTGAGGACTACATCCAACCTCCTCCCCCTTCACTCCATCTGGTTAGGATCCATTCTCATGGGTCAGCATGAGTTGGCTTTTCTCACCTTAGGAAGAACTGACAGGCTTAAACTGTGACCTTACTCAAACCAACCCTGACACTTGTGCATTCTTTCCTTCTATCTGCAACAAAGTACCCAATAAGGATTTTTAACATATCCTCCACTAAGTATCCAGTATTTGGGATGAAGGACTCCCCATTAACCAACTTACAGTTTACAGATATCTGTAAAGTTGACAAAAGAAGTTTTCTTTGTTCCTACTCGGACAACCTGTGGAGGTTTCATGACAAATTTCCTTTTCTCTCCAGCAACCATATCTGGATTCTTTTCCCTCATAATGTTGAACACTCGATTCAGTAGCTATAGAGAAACAAATGATATTCACATACATTTGTATAAATAGCAGAAGTTTAAAATTCCCACTTGAGTCACTGTTTTACCTTCAAAGCAAACATCACTTTGTACTAAACAGTGCTCACTTCAGCAGCACATACACACTTTTTACTAAACACACACATTTATCACTACATGTTCTGGCAGCGTCTTAACAGCAGGACTCAATCCTCAACCAGGATCTGGTCTATTAGGGATGCTGAGCAATACTGAGTTCAAAGTTGAATGAATGAATGAATAAGCCCTACTAATTTTGCTGTTTCTTTGGGAAAGTATAGGATACATGGGAAAGTAAGATTCAGGAAAACCCAAAGAAATGAACTCGACTCACCCTTGGCCCTAAATTAGTCTCACCCCCTTCCTCTACTGCTCTCCCCATTAAGGGGCTCCATGTCCTCAGAAGTTCATGGATTCAGATGGAACAGTGAATACCATAATGATTGCTGAACTCTGGGCATCTGAGGGTATCAGGCAACACTGTGCACTGACTGTGACCTCTCTGGGTCTGTTTCATGATCTGTTGTTCTTCAATGACCCTTCCAATTCAGTATAAAAATCTTGCTCGTCAGGGGTCCCTGGGTGGTTCCATTGGTTAAGTATCTAACTCTTAACTTCAGCTCAGATTATAATCTCAGGGGTCATGAGATGGAACCTAGGCTCCACAGTCAGGAGTCTGCTGGAGATTCTCTTTCCCTCTGTCCCTCCCCACCACACAGCACACGTTCTCTCTCACTCTCAAGTAATTATTAAAAAGTAAATAAAAGATCTTGCTCTTCTCTGAATTCTAGTGAACATCTTAGCCCTTTTTCATAACAGAATTTATCTTACCTCCTCGTATGTGTAGTCTCTTTCTGAGCCTGCCCAAGCAGGACCTGTCTGGTTACTGAATGAGATACCATCATCTTTTTTGCTGTCTTCATCTTCTAAAGCTACAGATAATAAAGATCATAAGAATGAGGGGTGGGCAGTAACAAAGTGGGGGGAGTCAGATCTAGAGAAATCAAAGCTTCTAAGACATTTGTCTTCCTCCCACACAAAAGCATCAAGGCTCAAAACCAACCTGTTATTCCTTCAAGACAACAATGTTACAACTTTCATGAATAATCCTTACCAGAAACATCTCTATTAGGAATTTGTGATAATAGACACACCAAATTATTTCTTGATTTAACAAACACAAGATAACATAATGCAATGGGATAAGTAGAGGGGAAAAGTCCAGCTGTTTTGAAGCACTTAAGAAATATCCACATCCATAAAAATCCACCTGCTACCTACACTGAAGTTCTCTAAAGAACTTTGGCACTTAGAGCTAATAAAACAGCACTTTTAACAAAAAAATGAAAAAAATTTCTGATTATTTAAAATCCAGTTACAGTTAATGTAATCCCAAGTGCCAAATTCTCCCCCCATGAAATCTTGAAGTCTCCTTATCAAGTTAAATTCTTCTAACTTTCAGTTTCTATTATCAGGCAGTGCAAATAAGGAGAAGAGAAAAGTAAGTCATCAAAGAGACTAGGCCAAAGTCTTGTGTAACCTAGAAATGAGCTGCTGAGCCCCAGTATTACCTTCATCTTTCTCTAGTATTTCATCCTCATCTGGGAACTTAACATTCTTCTTTTTCTTCTTTTTATTGCCAAGCATAATGTCAAGGTCATCTTCTGGTTCAGCTGGTTCCTGGATATCACTTTCAATCTTAAGATCCTAAGAAATTGAGATAAGAATCAACATTTTGATACCAAGACTTTTTTTTTTTTTTTTTTTTTTAAATTACATGGGCTGACATCATTTTGGAGGAAAACAAATATTCACAACTGAAGTTATAGATAAGCAATGTCTCTCACAGGTGAACCAAACTGGCTCAGAAAGTCTGCCATTTAGGGGCACCTGGATGGCTGTGTCAGTTAAGCATCTGACTTCAGCTCAAGTCATGAGCTCTGTGTCATCCTCTGTGCTCAGTGGTGAGTCTGCCTATCTCCCCTCTCCCTCTGCCCCTCCCTCCCTCTCTCAAATAAATAAATACATAAAATCTTTCTGCCTTTGGCTCAGGTCATGATCTCAGGGTCCTGGGATTGGGCCCCGTGCTGGGATCCCTGCTCAGTGGGTCTGTTTCTCCTTCTCCCTCTGTGCTCTCTCTCAGAATAAATAAAATTTTAATAAATAAAGTCTGTCATTTAAACTGGAAGTTCTTTAAGACACCTTTTTTTTTTTTTTTTTAAAGTAGGCTCTACATCCAATGTGGGGGCTTGAACTCACAACCCTGAGATCAGAGAGTCACATGCTCTTCTGACTGAGCCAGAGAGGCATCTCTCCTTAAGACACTTTTGTGGCATATTTTCCTTTCTTTTATCTATCAGCCTTGAGATCTTATAATTATTGCCCATGTTTCCAAACCAGGCCACTGTCAAAATCACCTAAAATCTTTAAAAGATTCCTGTATTAGGGCAGCTGGGTTACATAGTCAGTTGAGCATCTGACTCTTGGTTTTGGCTCAGGTTGTGATCTTGGGGTCATGAGATCGAGCCCTGCACTGGACTTCGCACTCAATGCAGAGTCTGCCTAAGATTCTTTCTCCCTCTCCCTCTGTCCCTCGGGCTCATGTGGGCTCTCTTTACAATAAATAAATAAAATCTTTAAAAAAAATTCTTGTATCTTGACTGACAATCTTCAGCAGCAATAGCATTCAGGAGTATTTTAAAGAGTTTCTAAGTATTCTGATGCAATCAATGGAAGTGTTTTTTTCCCTCCTGACACCAAATACATGGTGAGGCAGCTGCAGAGCCTTCTCTGGTTATACCACTCGCCCAACGTGTTCACCGCCATTGAAGGGCTTTTATGTAGGTTTCATTATGCTGACAGATTAATTAAATCATTGCCCATTGGTGACTGAACTCAGTCTCCAGCCCCTTTCCCTGGAGGAGTGTGTATGTCAAAGTTCCAATCCTTCAATCACGGCTTAATCTTTCTGACAACCAGCCCCCACCCTAAAACTATCCAGGAGCTCCCAGCCACTAGTCATCTCTCAAAAGATACTTTTATCACTCCAGAGATGCCAAGGGTTTTAGAAGTCTTATGCCAGAAACTGGGGACAAAGACCAAATATTTGTTTTCTTATTATATCACAGTCAGCCTGGCATAGACTGTGAAAAGGTCTTTAGGCATCATTTCAATAAATGACATCATGAAAGAGGGGAAAAGGCAGAACCCAGAGAATTACAGTCACCCGATGAATGGATGGAGACAAGGTAAACCTGGATCCCAAGATTAGCTGCTGTAGTTACGGATGTAAATAGGGCACTAGAAATGAGTCAGACACACCCCCAGAAGATCAGAAAGGGCCAGTCTCAGTCTCTAGTCTTCTAATCTCTCCATCCTTTGACCAGCTTATCTGGCTTCCCACCCTGAAGTATGTTGTCAATATTACCTATCAAGGTCTATTTTTGCAAGCCTACATCCTGAAGTACTCTGACATTGGCCACTGTAATTTCATAAATCTTAGCAGAAAAATTTGGAATAGCTGGGAGTAAATGACGCTCAGCCTTGAGATCCCAAATCCAAGTATGTAGTCGCAATGCCACATTTGGCCATCAAAAACCAATCCGCTCATGTGTATTAGCTGGATAACACATAAACAAGAAAAAGGATATTAACTTAGTCTCTAAGATGACAGTCATCAAACGAGAAACTTAGATAATGCTTATATAAATTAGCACACAACTAATTTCTAGTCCTATACTATTTATTGACTTCATTCCAGTAAGATCTACTTCCAAACTGAAACAAAGACCCAGTGAAACACAGAAAATAGCAGTGCTTTTCCAAGATTTTTCAAAAGCCCTGTGATGGTCTGAAAATTCAGGTGGATGAGTAACCCAATACCCAGTACGTTAAAAACACTTCAGTTTCAAGTTAAACTTCATGCCTTACCTGATGAGGATACTTGTAGTAACAAGCTATGTTATACCTTCAATAGCAGGAAAAAAGTATTTAAGCACTTAGTAAGAGGAGAGCTTATAACATGACTCTTTAGGACAAAAGCTACTAAAGGAACTGACCAACAAAACCTTGTTAACCAAGACCTTCTATAGCACATCTGATATGTCACTTTGTTACCTAGGATATTTAAACCTCATTTGTTAAGTATAATCTGAACATTTCTTTCTCAGTTTCCCTACAATAGTAGGAAGAGAAGAGAATCCCCAAACAGGGAGACAATAAGATAAATCCAGGTAAAATCATCCTGTTCTGGGGCACCTGGGTGGCTCAGTCGTTAAGCATCTGCCTTCAGCTCAGGTCATGATCCCAGGGTCCTCGGATTGAGCCCCACCACTGGGCTCCCTGCTCAGCAGGAAGCCTGCTTCTGCCTCTCCCCTCTCCCCGCTGCTTGTGCTCCCTCTCTTGCTATGTCTCTGTCAAATAAATAAAATTTTTAAAACAAACAAACACAAAAAGCCATCTTGTTCTAAAGGAGTCTAAATTATTCCTGAACTAAAATAATCTTTAAAAAAAAAAAAAAGAAAAAAGATTTATTTATTTATTTATTTGACAGACAGAGAGAGAGAGAGAGAGAGAAAGAGAGAGAACAAGTAGGCAGAGAGGCAGGTAAAGAGAGAGGGGGAAGCAGGCTACCCGCCAAGCAGAGAGCCCAATATGGGCCTTGATCCCAGGACGCTGAGATCATGACCTGAGCCAAAGGCAAAGATTAACCCACTGAGCCACCCAGGTGCCCTAAAATAATCTCTTAAAAGGAAAAATATCTTATTCATTTCTGTTCCTTAGCAATTAGCACACAATGCCTGACTCACTGTAATTACCAATACATCTTTGCTGAATTAACCAAATTATCAAAATTGTGACCATTTCCAAAACTGAACGAATTACTGTATCTATTTCCTATTACATGTGGGATACACTTTATTTTCTTGAGTTTGAGCAAATAAACTAATTGGGGTACAACCAGTCAGAATGGCTCAAGTTAAGTCAGGAAAGGACAGATGTTGGCAAGGATGCAGAGCAAGGGGAAAATTTCTACACTGTTGGTGGGAATGCAAGTTGGTGCAGTATGGAGATTCCTCGACAAGTTGAAAATAGAGCTACCCTATGACCCAGCAATCACACTACTGGGTATTTACCCTAAAGATACAAATGTAGTGATCCAAAGGGGCACCTGCACCCAAATGTTTATAGCAGCAATGTCCACAACAGCCAAACTATGCAAAGAACCTAGATGTCCAACAACAGATGAATGGATAAAGAAGATGTGGTACATATATACAATAGAATATTACGCAGCCATCAAAAAACATGAAATCCTGCCATTTGCAACAATGTGGATAGAACTAGAGCGTATTATGCTAAGCAAAATACGTCAATCAAAGAAAGAGTTATCATATGATCTCTCTGATATGAGGAATCTGAGAGGCAGGGAGGGGGTTGTGGGGGGTAGGGAGGAAAAATGAAACAAGATGGGACTGGGGAGGGAGACAAACCATAAGAGATCTTAATCTCAGGAAACAAACTGAGGGTTGCTGGAGGGTGGGGGGGAGGGGAAGGACAGGGTGGCTGGGTTATGGACACTGGGGAGGGCATGTGCTATGGTGAGTGCTGTGAATTGTCTAAGACTGATGATTCACAGATATGTACCCCCAAAGCAAATAATACATTGTATGTTAATTTAAAAAAAAAGGGAACCAATTCTTACAAAAAAAAAATTGGGGTAAAGAGCATAAAATGGGACACTTAGTACATGTGTATGTGTGTTCTCATGCTTAATCCTTCTCACTTGTATATACATAAAATTGCTATTATCCTGGATTTTTAAAACAGATGTATGGGCTCTGCTCAAGATTCCTGGACAGGGTCTTTAAAATAATAGCTCTAAGTAAGGGAATAACAGACTTTCATCTCCTTCCTCATCAGGGAATAACAGACTTTCATCTCCTTCCTCATCCATCCTTCTATTTACCCACCTACCCACCTCTTAATCTATCCTTGTTAAAAAGAATTTTGAGATATTTATATTGGAAACTGATAGAGTAACAAGATAATCACAGGGCCTCATGTCCCTACAAGACTAGAGAACCCCACAAAACCAAGTGCTCCCATTCTCCTATAGACCATAAAATCATCAGCCACCAACCATCACAAGCTAGGGTTCATTTTTTGCTGCTCAGAGGAACATGCATAAGTTTGTGTATCTTCAACATGCTACCAAAAGTCTAAAAGAAGAAACCATATGAATATATGCTCCACAGGATTTCTCACTTATACAAATACCTCTCCTCATCCAGTCTCAGTGTGGTTAATGACCATTTTGTAATCATTTTAATGGCACCTGCAATACAATATGTAAAACTCAATTGATATTCCTTTAAACCATAATTCCTTTAAGATACCTAGTCAGACACAATCCCAAGAAAATGACCTTAACACTGATCAAGTACTTAATAACAAAAGCAAAGCTGTTGAGGCAAAAGAAACATCAGCCATTAACAACCTTCGAGAGGTCAAATTTTACCTTCAATAAGAAAGCAATACTACCTTTACACCTTCTTCAGCTTCATCAATATCAAATATCTTTTTTGTTTTTTTCTTCTTTTTCTTCTGATTAAAGAAGTTCAAGTCATCTAAATCATCAGAAGCATCTAAAAAGACAGATAATTAGGGGTAAAAATTATTAACAACTAGCAGAAGGTATAGCACAAACCGAGTTAAACCAACATTTCAGCTATTAATTAGTCAAGTGACCAGAATAGACAGATTTGGTATTAATTAGTACAGTGGTCTCTCTACAACCCAAGATCACAGTTCTGAAAAACTCAATAGCAGGTCAAGTCAAAGCTTTGTAGGAAAAACCTGGCCAGGGGACCCATGTTGGGAATATTTTAGTAATCTGACCATACAATGCCTCATTTTTCTTATGGCAAAGTCAGAGTTCTAACACAATTTCCAAGGTTCTCTAGCTTTCTCTCTCCATTTCTGGCTATACTCTCATCTACCAACCCTTCATTGTTGGTTCCAGTCCAGCTAAACTACTTCTACTTCTTAGTGTCGTGTGTATAGTCTCTTACCTAAGCCTCCCATTGGCCCTCTCATGTGGCACTTAACTTCATCTCACTGGATCTTGGTTACAAGTAACTTCCACCAAGAAGCCTTCTCTAACCCTATCCCCCAACTGGGTTTTAGATGCCTCCTAAGTGCCCTGACAGAACCTTCTGTTACTCCAACAGAGATACTTAACGGCTTATCTACCTCCCTATTGGCTACTAAGGTGCTATATTTTTTTCATCTAAATCCTAGAGGTTAGCTCATTGTTACTAAAATCAATCCATCAACAAAAGGCCTTATAAAGTATATAACATTCATTAAGCCTACAATTTGAAACTTTATCCACCATTAGTAATAATGGGTTTATTCAATAAGTCTTCCGTTTGTCCTGCCCTATTGTACACTAAGAATACTTTAGGATCCCTCTGCTACAGTTTTTCAAGGAGCTACTTATGAATTCATTTGTCCTATTACAAAAATGTCTTACTTTTCTTTTCTTTTTTTTTTTTTAAAGGAAGTGGACTTTTTTTCATTTTTTAAGATTTTTATTTTTTTAATTTTATTTTTTTTATTTATTTGACAGACAGAGATCACAAGCAGGTAGAGAGGCAGGCAGAGAGAGAGGAGGAAGCAGGCTCCCCGCTGAACAGAGCCCCCAGTGCGGGGCTCAATCCCAGAACCCTGGGACCATGACCTGAGCCGAAGACAGAGGCTTTAACCCACTGAGCCACTCAGGAGCCCCTGTCTTACTTTTCAAGTTTGTTTTAAACATGTAAACATGTAAAAGATGCTTAGCACATGCTAGATGCTCAATGAATGTCAGTTCTCCCCATCGCCAGCAGTGTAGTATGTTCAACAGACATAAATCATGTTTACCGTATCATTTATTTCTAGTAATCAAATGGTGTCTATGTTAGAGCACAAGAGGGACTAAAACACTGGTGTCTAAATCCAAACATTTTAAGCTATAATTTTTTTTTTTTTTTTTTTTAGAGAGAGAGGGAGAGAGAGCAAGCACAGGCAGACAGAATGGCAGGCAGAGGCAGAGGGAGAAGCAGGCTCCCTGATGAGCAAGGAGCCCGATGTGGGACTCGATCCCAGGACGCTGGGATCATGACCTGAGCCGAAGGCAGCTGCTTAACCAACTGAGCCACCCAGGCGTCCCTAAGCTATAATTTTAATCTTTTCTATAGATTCTCAGATTTGCTAAGATACAAAAATGCCTATTTTGCTCCAATGTCTTTCTGCCTACACTCAAATACAACTACAACTGGAAACTGGAAAATAGAGACCTGACGGGTTAGACTGGAAAAACCAGGCCTGAGATGATGAGGTTTTGTCATCTCTGCAACTTGGGGATTGGTAGGAATTTCTCTGGAATAAATCTATCAGAAATCTGACAAGATCCAGTGCCTACAACATGTTAATAGCCTCAACTTCACTTACCAGGCTGAGAGGTCACTGTAGGCACAAAATCCAAAACACTCACAGAAGAGAACCAGGTCTCACAGGACAACAGTGACTCTTTCATATCTACAACTCACCTTTTTTCCTACTGTCCTCTTCATCGGCTTCAACATCTTTGTCCTCAGTTGGCTCTGGTTCTACTTCTTTTGTTTCTGAGGGCTGGGTTTCTTCTGTCTGGGCATCCCCTTCCTCATCTAACATAAAAGGCTTCTTCTTCTTCTTTTTCTTCTTGCTCATAGTAGGATCAAAAATCATCTGTTTAAAGAAAGGAAAAAAAGAACCAAGTGATTGTGTTTAAAGATACTCACATTCCAAATATTGTATACTCAGAAAGTATGCGCTTGAAAATACAATATATGGTGCATTAAAGTACCAAAAAGGATTTTACAAACACACACAGGAAGTCCATCTAACAACCTACCTTTATTAGTAAAGGGGTGGGGGAGGGGTATGGTTCAGGAACACGTGCACATGCCTTTAAATTTGTAAATCCTCACAAGATACAGCAACTTCACTTTTAAATTTCATGAACAAATTTGGAGACTTTATAAATGTATCATGGAACTTGGGAAGGGACCTTAGCAACAACTTATGCTATGACCCCATTTTATGGATGAGAAAACCAATGCCTCGGCAGCTTACGCAAGTTTTATTTACGGCTGGTAATCTGGGTTTGCTATGCCGAGAGACTTGACCTGATAAATAATTAAAACAAAAACTTCTCTCATCCCATCCCGACACTCCTCCCCAAGCTCAGACAAATCTTTAAGAAAATCCATCAGCCCCCCTTCCTATAGCAAATCTCTAAATGAGAGAAAGTTCCATAAGCTTTTACTTTGCTTTTTGTTTTGGGAACATTAAGTTTTCTTAGCATTCTAAATCTAATGTCCACTAGAGAGTAAGTGAAAAACTAATTTATAACTTGTTTTTGGCAACTTGTGTACACTGATCACTTGGAAAAAAAAGACTAGATCATTATTTTAGACACAAGAGTTTAACAACATTTAGAGTAGATGCCTGGTAAAATGGAAAGAGGTCTTTGAAGTCAAGCAGAATTGGGTTCAACTCTCAAATATTTCTCTTTAAGCCCTTACCAATCTTTGTCCAAATTCTACCATGCTTCAATTTAGGATTTTGCCCAATGATCTGCTGTGACGGAGAAGTATTTGAAAGCAAAGGTCTGGAGCCCAACTGACTGAATTCAAATCCTGACTCTGGCACGCACTTACTTGTGTTACTCCAGATAAGTTCTTGCCCTCTGCATGCTTCATTTATAAAATGGAGATCAGTAGCAGAACCAAAAACAAATCTCACAAGATTATTGGGAGGATTAAATGAGTAATTAAATATAAAACACTTGGTACAGTGCCTGGAACAAAAGTACTCAATAAATGTTAGCAATTATTATAATTTATATAATGCTTTATAGTTCACAAAGCATGATATCTTTTGATTCCTATCACTACAGTTTCATCAACTCGGGGTGATCAAATTTCAAGACATATCATGAAACTCTCAAAAAAATTTCCTTAAACTGATTCCAATTAACTTAAATTTATTTATTTATTTATTTGTTTGTTTTTAAGATCCCATTTATTTATTTGACAGACAGAGATCACAAGCAGGTAGAGAGGCAGGCAGAGAGAGGGAAGCAGGCTTCCTGCTGAGCAGAGAGCCCAATGAGGGGCTCGATCCCAGGACCCTGGGATCATGACCTGAGCCGAAGGCAGAGGCTTTAACCCACTGAGCCACCCAGGCACCCCCAATTAACTTAAATTTATGATCCAAGTACATCAGAGAAATTGAGCTACACTGAAACCAAACTAGGGTCTGTAATTAAGGTAGGGTAGTTATCGTCCTCACCCAATGAAAAAGGATCTGCAAGATATTTTGGAAACTGACACAGCCTCATTTCAAAGATTTCCTCTTCCACCTTCACAAAGATTTAATTGTGTAGCAAATGAGTAATTCTGAAATGCAGTCAGTCTGAAGAACATTACTGAGCAACTTAAAGAAGAGGATATAAAAAATAAAGGCTGAACAAACAGGAAGAAGTTCCCCACTGCTAACTATTAGGTCCTGGGTCACTCTACATGAATGTTGCAGTCTATTCCAAGGAGGTATCCAGTTTATCCTCATTCCTGAAATATGGAGATTTGGCAAAAGGACAGAGAACACACAAGGCACTAGAAATTTGATTGTCTGGCAGGGCTTACAATGTATTGCATCCCCCCCGCCCAAGTATCAAGTTCCCTGGAATACTAATTACCTTTTAACTATTATTTAGCAAGACAGTCCAAAAATAGGAGGGATTCTCAAACAGAGGATGGCCTCACAGCTATCTTCCTACTCTCTGAAAAACATTCATACTTAAATCTATAGGCAAACAGTTTGGTTGTAGCCTTGTAAAGAGTAATAAACATGCAGGAATTATACACTGAAATAATTAACATCTCTCTCCATTACTATCTCTGGATACTTAAGACATATAGTCATTCCCTCATATACTCACACCACCTAGCAAAGTAGGGTTTAAAAATAAGGAAACCAGGGATCTCACAGTAGTGCCCAGAGGGGGACTCCCCTAAAATACAAGGCCATGTCAGTGCTGAGTAAAAAAATATTTTTTTTAAGATTTTCATGTCTCACAAATTATTACATTCAAAATGTTTATGAGACTAGTTTGGATTTGAGAAGCAAATAGTTGCTGACAGTACACTTAGGAAAAAACCACAGATCTCTTGAGATTTTTTTTTTTTTTTTTTAAGTCCACAGCAAAGCTTTCAAAACCAGCTTCTCACTTTCAACTTCCAGGTTGGGCTGGGCTGGAGAATGCTAAAATGCTTCATGAAAAGTGGTAACCTACTCTCATCCATCAGAATTTACCCAAAATGATAACTTTATGGTCACACCACACCCAGGAAGCAAGTGTTAGTTACAAAAGAACCTAGAGAAAAAAGGTGAGAACCAATGCTAAATACTGTCATCTCTGGGTGACAAGATTTTTATTTCTTTGTATTCTTTTGTGTTTTGTAAACTTTGTACAACACACATTCCATTTTTAATCAGGAACTTTTTTTTTAGTTTAAAACTTCTTTTGTAAAACAACCTACCACCTTGTGTGAAAACCCAATAGTTCTGACAACTTGTAAACGAGGCCTAGTAATAAGAGGTAATCTTAGTTATTAACAGCACTTCAAAAAAAAATGGTCTGAAAAATAATGAATGCCTGAAGATTAGGGTATTTTTTCCATAATTCTAGAAGACTGCTTTTTAAAGGTCATGGTTCCACTAGGTTAAAGAAAGATATTTTGGTGAGTTTCTGGCTTAATTACCAGGTTTAGAAAGAAATGTATGCAGTTTATTTTATGTCAATTATCCATCAATAAAGTACTTAAAGAAAGAAGGAAATGTGAGAAAATAGGAAAAAAAAAAACCCCAAAACTAACAGTAGGTTCTTTAACCCTCTATCTTAGGCCCAGGGTCTCTTGGGGAGACCCTGGCAGTTTATAAATCTTTTCCACGTACAACTTTTCACTTGATCCTTAAAGTCTGTAAAGTAGTCAGAAGTTAAGGACTTGCCTAAGAATACTAATTTAGTCAACAGTACTGAGGAACCAGATCCTGCACATACCTCCAGAGTGGAAGCTAAAGGCTGAGTTTCTAGTCCCACTAACTTGCTGTGTGATCTTGGACAAGTTAACTTCCCTAGGCCCTAGTTTTCCTGCCTATAAAATGAAGTTGGACTGGTAGATCAGCGAAGTGCTAAGCTACTTAACACTTTATTGGCTTCCAAAGCCCTCTGTTGGAATTCTGGTTCTGCCATTTTTGCTTGACAAAATCTTGTTCACCCTTCAATAATTTATTCACATTCCACTTCCTTCAAAACTTGACCCCACTGCTAAAACTGAATCCTCCAGCTCCCCAAATCGCTATGTTGAAATGGCCCTATTTCTTCTACCCACTGTAGCTAGTAGTAGATCTCTTAAGTCCAACACTTGTGAGTGCTTTACCAAAAACCCCATACACAGAATAGTACCACACAGTACCTAAAAAGGCACTGTTAAAGGTTATGAAAATTTTAGAAAATGAGTAGGAAAAAAAAAACAAGCATGAAACATTGCCACTCTCAGAACTTTTGAAAAATACAGTAGCCAGAGCAATGTCTTGGAGTTCAGAGCATGACCTCCAAGCAAGAACCGCCGACTTCATTTAGATTCTCAGTTATTTCCTAACAGAGCAAGAGCCTCCCAGTGACTTAGATGGAGGCAGTATTGTTTGCACAGATCTGGTATTCTACTACTCAATCCACCACTTACTTACTTACACATACGACTCCTAAGCTTCAGTTCTCTCATCTCTAAAATGGGCATAACAATAATACCAATTTTACACGGCGGTGAAATCATATGTGAGATTGAAGTCTACTCCTCCAGAATAAAAAATCCAAATTTCTTACTTGGTCCTCAAATCCCTCCACGAATTAGCCGCCACTTACATTTCAAGCGAATTAACTCTAACCAAATTGGAGAATATCCTTTCTGTGAGCACATGTACTTGCCTTCTTAACCACTCTCTTTCCTCTATGATCAGGCCTTTCCACTACTGTGGAAATTCGTTCAGGGCCTACCTAATAAAAACCCAACGCTCGAGAAAGCCCTGATTTTTTCCTCCTCCTCCTCTCCAAGGCGCTATAGGCCAAGCACCCCAATATTTACGAAGTGAATTATTATCATTTCAAGAGCTTTTTGTTTTTTGGCGGGGAGACCTGGCCGGTAAGCCGTAGTTTTCCTCAATCAATACTTACTGACAGTACTTAAAATCAGATTTCATTTTAAGCCGTTTGATTTTACATGAACTGGAATCAATCTGGCTAAAAAGGATTTGAGAAAATTTGCTGAGGTACAAGCACGACGGTGGAATAAGATCCAGCCAGCTTCGTAGCCCCATCTTCCCGCTCACGTCGCTGTGAGCTCTGCTCAGGAAGGCTCAGGGACTCCCGCCCTAAAACTTTCCGAGGTGAGTCACTTTTTGAGGCTGAAGGGTCTTCTTCCTCTGTCCTATCTCCCTCACCCCTCGGTCTTTTAAAGAAATAATGCTCGAGATGAGAGTAAGGGCGGACACCGGCCAGGACATGCCAGCCTACAAAGTTTTAAACGAGGGCGCTCCGCCGGAGCTGAGGAAGGCTGCTCTCGGCACTCCCGGCGCCCAGCGAGGAGAGTTGGAGCCGCACTGTCAAATCGAAAGGAATGCAGGGGTCGGCAGCCCCAATCTCGTTCTTTCGGGGAATTACCCGGGCATTCAAGCCCCCTTCTGGGAGGGCGACTCAACGAGCTCTCAAGTCCGGAAACGCCGGGCACAGGAGGAAGCAGGCCTCGGCGCCGCCGCCCTGAGAAGAGCCGGGCGCCACCAGGCCCGCGGCTCCGAAGTCCTCACCGGTTCTACCGCTCCCAGCCGCCTAGGCCCGGCTGCCCCACATGGCGGAGGCCGGCCGCTAGGCCGCAGGCCCGGTCTCCCACACCGGGGTGGGTTAGGCTCTCCGCCTCAGTCCTTAGCCTCAGAGCCAGGCTCAGGCCCTCACCTCGTCCCCGGACATGGTTGCTGCTCGAGTGGGCTCAGCACGGACGGGAAGTCGGACGGGTCAGCCCCAGGCCCCGGTGGCAGCTCTGCTCCTACCGACACCTCTCCTACCACCGCACTAGACTCTTGCATCAGCGAAAGGGAACGACACCCCGCCCTCTCCTCCCAAGCGTTGGAAATACGCCTGCGCAGAGCCTGCCAAGGCGCAGGCGCGCGGAGGAGCCGACCTAGAGCGCTCGGTCTGGCGCGAGTTACCAGGCGACGGCGCGGCGCGGCCGCAGGCAAGCTGGGACTTGTAGTCCGCCTAAAAGCGGCGGGCACTCACCGGACAGCCGCCCAGCGGTTCGTGCGCTTGTGCGACGTCTAAGGAAGCCGGACTGAAGGTTGGCTTTTGCAATTGACGGCTGTTACCTCAGTCTCCGCGTTGTTCTGCAGGGCTTGTGGAGTGAATTCGGGGCCATTTCTCCTGAGTTAGGGTGGTGGGTGGGACGCCCAGTAATAAGAACCCGGTAGGGCTTAAGTTTCTTTGCTACTACCTACTCCATGCGCCCTGGAGGTATGTTAGTGTTTGAGGAACTCAAAAGTTGGAGCTAGAGGCGCGCACCTCACTGAGAGGCTTTACTTAATGAGAAATTTAAACCTGACGTGCTGGATTCCAGGTTGGGAGGTCAGAAACCAAAAGTCTCCTCTGTAGTTTCGAGGAGAGAAGATGTCTCCTGAGAAGAGTCGGCCTGCCCCCAGTCTGTCAGGAAGCCTGAAAATACTTGTTCGTGAAATCTCTGCTTGAATGCTCTGGGGGCATCACGCAGTCCCCCCTGAGCCATAATAACAGCAGTTATCTTTGAAGGGGCTGTCACGACTGTGGATGGCCTCCAGCCAAAGACCACTAACACCACCACTAGAGTTGAACAAAGTTGGGCTTCTTGTCTCCTTACAAGGAGGTAGACACACCATGAAGGACAGAGACATTTCAGGAAGAGGGTGCCTGGAAGAACTGACAGGATTTGGGCTTGTGTTAGGTAACTTCTAGGAGTGTTCAAGGAAGCCCGCGGTCTGTCTGGACTGGATGCTGTTAGGAAGTAGAGGTAATTCTATGATGAGATTTTTTTTTTTTTAAAGATTTTATTTATTTACTTGACAGAGATGACAAGTAGGCAGAGAGGCAGGCAGAGAGAGAGGGGGAAGCAGGCTCCCCGCTGAGCAGAGAGCCAGATGCGGGGCTCGATCCCAGGACCCTGAGATCATGACCCAAGCCGAAGGCAGAGGCCCAACCCACTGAGCCACCCAGGCGCCCCAATGATGGGATATTTTAATAATTCTTTTTAAAGATTTTTTTTTTAAATTTTCAAGAGAAAGTGAGAGGGTGAGCCTGTGAGAGGGGCAGAGGGAGAGAAGGGACTCCCCACTGAGCACGGACACACATCCCCTCCCCCACCCCCGCCCCCAATGCATGGCTCCATGTCAGAACTCTGAGATCAGGAGCTGAGCTGAAATCAAGAGTCCGCACTTACCCGGCTGAGCCGCCCAGGTACCCCTTTAATTCTTATCTACAAAAGGAGAGAAACCGAGAGAAGCTAAAGCTATGATTGATGATGAACCAGCAGTCCCTCCTGTTAGCCAGGACAGGGCATTTTTGTTTTGTGTGTGTGTGTGTGTGTGTGTGTGTGTGTGTGTGATCGCGACAGTGTTCTTTTTTTTGTTTGTATTCAGACGTGGTTTTGGAATGATTTTGGTTATCCTGGTCAGAGTGGCTTTGTCTGATGTTGGTGTTCCATGAAATATTTTATGTTCAACAGGGCAGCACATCCCAGGTTATGGTGCCAGCCTAATTCCCACTATCAGGGCCTGCTTTTCTCCTTTTCACTGTTTCCTATCGCCTAAAAATGTGCTGTGCTTTAGACCTCAAAACAACTATGTGAGATAATCCCCAGATATGTAGTACTCCCCATTGGATACTAGTTCCTAATCTAAGCATGGCAGGTAAAATTATGACCCTGCCTCCAGGAAGCTTACAGTTTATGAGAATAGTTTATTCGCCCCCTTTTTCCAAATGAGGAAACTGCTTTCATGGCATTGAGTAATTAGTCCAAAATCATACAGGCAACAAAACGGGGAACCTGGGGATCCAAGTCCAAACATTCTGATGACGGTGGCTGTCACTTTACCACTGTGAAACTTTGCATCCCTAAGGAGGCTGCAGTACCTGCTCAGTAATCTTCAACTACTGATATCTGCTTATACCTGGGTTTCTCAACAGCAACATTATTGACCTTTGGGGCCAGATAATTCTTTGTTGTTGGGAGCTGTTCTGTGCATTTTAGGATTTTCAGTAGCATCCGTGGCCTCCATCATGTCAGTGGCACCCTGTCTCTCGTTGTGACAATCAAAAATGTCTCCAAACATTACCAAATCACCCGTGTTTGGGAGCCACTGGCATATACCATTTATCTCCTCCTGGGTCTTTGAAAGTAAGAAACATTTGCCACATGAGAATCCCCAAACCGCTTTGGAGAGATCTTGAAAAGAGAGAGAAACTGTGTGGCCTAGAATTCTGAAAAACCTGTTCAACTAGAACAATGAAGACTGAGACAAAGCAAAGACAAATGAAGTGGGAAGAAACAGAGGGAGAAGACCAGTGATGAAAGTGGAGAGGACCTCTGTAGAAATCACCCTTAAGTTATTCAGTTAACAATAACAAAGACACGAAAAGTCTTAATGAGGCCTCGTAGTACCTCTGCTCCCTGTTTGGGAAATGCTGTTATGCTTAGCAAATAGTCCTTGGCCACTTTTCTGAAAAGACTTCTTTTCCTTTACAGCATGGGCCCAGGTCTGACCTTCCTGGGGCCCAGGTCTGACCTCTCTGAACTGGCTACTTGCATGAGACTCTTCAGAGATTTCAAACATTCCCCCCAAGGAAGTAGTTTGTTTTCCAGGAAAGCCAAGGTTCCCTGGAAAGCAGGCAAAAGTCCTAAAGCAATGATAGCTAAGCTTTTCCAGGTTTTCCAAGAGACGATCCTACTTAGACTAAGCTAATAAGAGCATCAGTGCAAATAATCACCTGTATCTTCCTAACCTCTTTCATCTAGGAATCTCTGCAAAATATATAGGCATTTATTAGTTTTCTTCTCATAACAGTGAGAGAAATCATTGTAATTTTTCTGTTTTATAGATACAGAAGCCAAATTATGGAGTCCACAAAAAATAGTAAGAAATCCAGAAATAGACTATTGAAATCTTCACTTTGGGCCATTCCTGATTCTCAGCACCACTCCAGATCTCCCACTACTCAATAGTAAGGTAATGATAATCCTTCAAGTGTATACTAAATTTTATGTTTTCATAGGCTTTAAAATAATCCATAGTCTCTTCACTTGACCCATAAAATAGCAGGCCTATTTTAGTAGAGGCTATGAGTTAAAATAATTAAAATAGAGGGCATGAATGAAATAAAATTAAATAGTAGTAGTATTTGAACTGGAACCCAGATCTCATGATTCTTAGTCCAATACTCTTTGTACTTGGTAAGCAAGTCCATGCATCCCTGTAGTAATACTTAATTTACAGAGAATAGAAGATATTCTAATCCACATAGAAATCCAAGCCTATGCAACCCTTTCATCTATTTGTACCTCATTATGTAGGGTCTTTTAAGAGTTAGCTTTGGTGAAGAAAGGGAAAAGTCACTGAGATATTAATGAAGCATCTGTTAACTCTGAAATTAAATTAATCTTTGGATTGACATAGTAGGCAGAAGGCATAGTGAGGCTCCCGCTAAAGAAATTTTAAATAGAGTTAACCTTTAGGATCTAAATTAGTAGGAATGAATTCTTAATTATTTAGCCATATATAAAAATGACTTATGAGATAATATTGTCACTGAGGAGATTTAGGAATTACCAACTCTAAGCAATTTGATCAGGCTATAGTCTAATGAATATACTATCTCTATATACTGTCATTATATTAATGATTCCCAAATTCATATTTCCAACCCAAACCTCTCCACTGAGTTCCAGCCTCACATATCCAAGTACCTACTTCTCTATGTTTGCTCATCTCATAGAGATCTCAAAGTCACTGTATTTATTTTTAAAATTTTTTTTTTTACTATTTTATTTATTTATTTGAGAGCGATTACAAGTAGGCAGAGAGTCGGGCAGGGGTTGGGGGAAAGCAGGCTCCCTGCTGAGCAGAGAGCCCAACACGGGGCTCGATCCCAGGACCCTGGGATCATGACCTGAGCCAAAGGCAGACGCTTAATGACTGAGCCACCCAGGTGCCCCGAAGTCACTGTATTTAAAACAGAATTCTGGGTCTATGCTACTGCATGTCTTCCCCATCTCACAAATTAAGGGTACTGCTCTCTGCTCAGTTGCTTAAGTCAGAAACCTAGGAGTCAGCTCAATTCCTTCATTTTTGTCACCTTCTTCATCCAATTCATTATCAAGTCTTGTTGATTCTATGTCCTAAATAAATCTCAAATCCAACCACTTCTCTCTATCTCCACTGCCACACTAGTTTGGTCCAGGTGACTGTCATGTCTTTCTTGGATACTACAATATTTTCCTCTTGACCTTTTCCTCCATAACACTTAACACAATTTGTTTAATTTTTTGGTAGGTTGTTTACTTGTGATTTTCATAATCTCACTTCACTTCTAGAATGTATATAAATTCTTTGAGGATAATTTGTTAAATTAATGGATAAAAATCCAATAGTGCTAAAATTTTAACTGCTGCTTATAGAGATGTAGTTGAAGTAGGAGCCTTTATTTAATCATATAGGATAAAAAAAATTACTGGAGCTAACATAATTAAAATCAACTGTAGTACAACTCAAAATGGATGAAAGATCTAAATGTGAGACAGGAATCCATCAAAATCCTAGAGGAGAACACAGGCAGCAACCTCTGTGACCTTAGCCCACAGCAACTTCTGGCTAGACCTGTCTCTAAAGGCAAGGGAAACAAAGGCAAAAATGAGCTTGTGGGACTTCATCAAGATAAAAAGCTTTTGTATAGGCAAAGGAAACAGTTGACAAAACCAAAGGATAGCCTACAGAATGGGAGAAGATATTTGCAAATGTCTCAACAGATAAAGGGCTGGTATCCACAGTCTGTAAAGAACTTATCAAACTGAACACACAAAGAACAAATAACCTAGTCAAGAAATGGGCAGAAGACATCAACAGGCATTTCTCCGAAGAAGACATCCAAA